AGGGCTCGGAAGAGTCCTTTTGTAGCTATGCTTAAAAAATTGGCAGGTGACATGAAACTGGCCAAAACCACTGGCAGGTGGAAGAAGAAATTGAGAACCATCTTACATTGATTCATACATTAAATAATCTAAGATCACGGAGGTAAGCTTTAACAACAAAAAGCAGAAATTTCTACATATTGGAATTTTAAGTCAATTTATGAATTCAAAGTGGCAAAAATAGAAATTGATGACATAGTGTTAAAAATTACTATAATATTGGCTTTCACATTTATGTATTAGTTTTTAGATGTTGTTATTAATCATAAGTATTTGGATATGGTACAATTTGTAACTCCTTTTAGCTGCGTCTTAGTATAACACAATCTATTAGTTTTGCACCATGTAGATTATAGAAATAGTCATGTGATTAATATATCTATGTATGCACCATATAGCTTGTAGAAATAGTGGTGTGATGATGTTTATATCCCAGGCCTTAGCAAAACACAAAATGTTAAAATGCTCTTGTGTAACTAAGAGAATGGTGTAAGGTGATTATGTTGTTTCCCCCATATCCAACCAACCTTTCCAAGTGATAACAGTGACACAAACCAGAGCAAGTGAGAAGGATTTGTTAACTCTTTATCAGGGAGTGTGAAACAGGATGGAAACAAGAAGAAATAAAATATATTGACCTAACCCACAGGATGTCCTGCAGATAAATCAGTGTAAAAACCAAACAAGAGTTCCTGAAATATCAAAAAGCTCACAAAAATGTTTGAATAAAGTATGAAATACATGAATATGCATGTGCCTCAGTAATGTAACAGTATCTAGAAAACACTGTCTCAATCTACCTGTGTGTTCTTTGGCCAATAGCCAGAAACACCAGCACTGGACATGGTCCCTTTTATTCCCTTATTAAACTTCTAAAAATTCTAGAGAGTGAAGCTTGTTTTTCACAATAGGACAAGCAAATCAAAGCTATATGACTGTCTGTAGCAATATGCTGCTGCAGTGGAAATAAGTCTTACTCCAGGCCATTAAAAACCGTGTTGCATATGAAACCTGGAAAGCAATCATTTCACTTTACTTAGCTCACTCAAAGCCACTTGAAAGCGTTCAACAGAGACTTGGGCAAACTCAATATAGTCTACAAGAGAGGAGGAACAATCAGATGATTATTAACATGACCTAGGTGGGGATGTAAACAAATTGTTTATTTGTTCTGCAGTAACTGACCTCACACCACTTCTACATTTCATCTGGGAATTACTAACTTTTTTCCCCAGTTCTGTTGATGTGATATATACACATTTCACAATACTGTCTATTGTATACCTAATAATTGAATAGGATTGATTCTGTCCACATGCAAAGCCCTGGGAACTGTCCCTTGCAGTCAAGTGTTGTGAACAAGCTAGTTTTCTATTGTCTCACCTTTTAGTAGTAGTGAAACACCAAGACTGGTTATGCAACCTAAGTACAAAGTCCATGATTGCTTAATGATACAGCACATCAGTGATATTTTGTAACACAGTGTAATATGTAAACTTCCACAGTTTATTTACTATCATGCACTTTTATTGTACACCTGCTAAGTCCCTTATCTCCTCAGAAGCCTTTGCAACAACTGAAGTCAACCTGAGAACTTTTCATCAGGTAAAGTGCATAAACTATTTCCCAAAAGGGTAATAAATGCATGATGGCAAAACTCATCTTGATTCTTCACTAATCACTTCCCTTATTAAGGTTGTTCACATTATGGCATTTTGAGGGTTGTCTTAAAGAAAATAATGTGAAGCTCATGTTTTCGTGTTAATATGTGTATTTGATTGACCAACTGATCTCAAGATCTGTCAGTCTTTGATTGTGTTGATTGGTTTGCAGGAGTTTGCTGAACAGTTCTGCTTTTAATAATTTACTAACTACATGTACTTAAATATTAAGAGTGACTGTCACTGGAAGGTGCAGAAAATCATCTTTATTCTCAGTATTATTAAACTCACATTCTGTATTTCTAGAAAGATGTACTGGCACATGCTCCTAGGCTACGAAAGGAGATATTTACCAAGCTGCCCAGGGACATGTGACAGTAAGGTTGAGGCAAACCAATTCCCTACTGCAAGAATTTAATGCATGTAGCTATTTTAAGGAAATGTCACATGCTCAGATTCACTACAAAGATCAATTTGCAGTAACTTTCTCTCGTTTCTTTAGCCTAACTCCCAACTTATGTTAAGCAGAACAGTTGCAATACTACATTTCTTCTGTTATTAAACAGACCTGAGCTAGGCATGAGGTCCCAAGGAACGCTTTAAAGTCATCATTTTGGAATGTGCCATGTCACACATAAAAGGGAGTTATGTGTTGTGAGTGCTAACAGGAATTGTGCTGTGATGAAACAATGAGAAAACTGCCTTTTGCTTGTGTCTCTTCCCTGCTTTTCCACCAAATTATGCATGCTGCCCCAGGTTCTTTATGTCTGCCTGTCAAATCCCTGAATATGTACTTTTACCTCCTGAACATTAACTCCATCACACAGCTTCCACAGGAGACAGACAGGGCTGTTACTTAGTGGTTTACCAGCCCTACTGAGCTCCTCTCCCTTTCCCACACATACAAGTGCACACAGAGTTCACAGAGATTCCTGTATGGATTTGAAACAGATTGGATTTGAGAGCCCACAAGCTTTGCAGATCTGGAATCATGCCTAAGTAACAGACCTCCGGGGTCCCGCTTTACGTAAGATTCAGGTCCAGTTTCACGGGCAACTTAAGTTGTCACTAGCTGGCACTGCTGCTGAAAGAAGTATCCAGACTCTTTGCCTGTCCTTGATTGACCCCATCTATTGTGCCAGCAGAAGTTTCTAGCACTGGTTCATTCAAAGAAAGCAGGCTTTTGACTACACCTTCATGCTGCTTCTTCCAAAAATAACTTTTTATTTGTGTTCATTTTTTCCCCCACCCAATGCTGTAAAGAGCTGTACAATGAGCTGACATTATGCAAAAAGCTACAAACCTGGTCTAAACTCTTAGTCCTTCATTCTGGCACATGAAGCTACGCCCCAGGTCTGTGCTTAGCTTCATGTGCCAGGGACAGTTCACTGACATTCATGTGTCTATTAAAGATAAGGGCAGAAATTCTTAAAACAAAGAGAGGAAATGTTTTACCGCAGCAGCTACGTTTCAACTCTGTAGAAACATCTCAAGCTATATGAGCAAGAAAAAAATAACACAAAATAAAATATCTTTCAGTCCCAATTTGCTTCTGAAGTCCAGAAGAAATAATGTAGAAAGGATCCTTTTTGTCACTGGAAAGCCAGTGAGTTAAAAAACACACTTTGGAAGATAAGCTTTTTGGAAGACTTCAAATGAGGGCTGCTTTGTGTCCTGCAGGATGTCATCTTGGGTTGCAATGCAAGATGTAACCAAGAGTATGTATTCTATTACCATCTGTTAAAACCAGGTGGGGCAATGTTCTTTATCTCTTCCATGACCCATCCCTCATAATTCCATGACAATATATTCTGGTAGTGAGCCAGCTGTTAAAACCAGGTGGAGCAGTGTTCTTCATCCCTTCCATGACCCATTCTCCCTCAAGAGGAATCTCTTCTGATAATGGGCCTTTGAGTCTTGCTGCATGACTGATAAAATTACAGCCACCCAAATGCTCCACCCAGGGGGAGGAGCCAAGCATTCCTACCTGGATATAAAGTGCAGCCACCTTGTAGTCGGACTGCTATCAACACACTGACCAACAGGGTGTCAGGTTGTATTCTGACTCTGTCAGTGTTGATTTGTTGTTTTGTTTTTTTTTGTACTACTGCATTTTTATTTTAATTTTCCTAGTAAAGGACTGTTATTTCTACTCCCATATCTTTGCCTGAGAGCCCCTTAATTTCAAAATTATAATAATTTGGAAAAAATGGGGAAGTGTATATTTTTCCATTTCAATAAAAGTTCCTGCCTTCCTTAGCAGACGCCTATCTTTTCAAACCAAAACAGATGTGCATAACCTGAACACAAACCACCCCTTGCTTTTGTGTCACTGCTGGTAAGGATGGGCTGAGGAACATAAATGAAAGAGGTGATGGTGCTTTCATCTGTGCTCCCACAGTCTTGTGGGCTCCCCTGAGGGAGTCTGAGGGTGTTTTTGTAGATTTTCTGCCATGAGGAACCAGGCTTCAGGCCCTGTGTCCCAGCTAGCACAGTCCCCAGGGCTGGCAGGGGCAGGGTGATTGGGTGAGGGCTGCTGCAGACGTGGGCCTCCTCAAGCAGCAATCCTCCCCCAGCCTGCCCGAGCTGAGCATGGGGTCTGCATGGTTTAGTGCAGATCATGTTCTTCCTGAGCAGTTAAATAAATACAGACAGTACTATTTTAGGAGTAGAACCCAGTAAGAACAGAGCAGCTAGTTTTCAAAACTAGCTGTGAGCAAATAGGTAATAAGATTTAAGCCATTTTTAGATTTTTTTGGTCCACCAAAACCTTTTGAAGATCTATCAAATTTCATCCTTTACACAACATGTTTACAGCTAAATACTTCAATTATTACTAACACCAAGTTCACCGGTCCTATATGAAATACAAGAAAATTTATGTGATTTTATATCTTGATTAATCATCCATGCCTGTAGATCATTTTTCCCAGCCTAAATGTATAATTGTGAGATATTCTGAGATCTTTTATAGTAAGTATTATTCAAAACTCATTATAAACAGGACCACAATGCCTATATCTTTGCTTTCCTCATCATATCTCTGGCTGCTTAAGGAACATACTAAACCAGCTGCTCTTTTCATCTATCTGTAGGAACAGAGCTGAATAAAAAATAGGCTTTTTTTACACAGGGGTATGCTCGCCTTGTTGAAGATTGACTCTTTGCCCTGTATAAAAATTTTAAGGACACTGAGAGGTGTCCTTAAAATTCTTAATTGTTTTTAATAGTATAAACCTCATAATTAGAATTTAAACCTAGCCTGCTAATGATGGTAGTGTTATTAAAAATAGCATTTAGAAAAAAACCCAACTTGTGTAGTTCTACAGTACATCTCTTTCTAGTGTATCAGGAATGTCTTGCATCCCTCTCGTGTTAAGGATTAATTTGGGCCTCTCTTCCTGTCAAAGTCAGTAAATGTAACTCTCTCTTCCAGCAACAGGTATCCAGCAAGGTTGAAGAAGTTTAATCCTGAGCCTACCAAGAGAAAACAAAAAAGGCAAAAAAAATGGTCAAAGTGCCTTAGACATCCATCACCTTGGACTTTTCGACACCTGACTTCAATTATTCTGAACACTGAAAGTCATCGGTCTTTGTAAGAGATAATTCCTGATCCACAGAGCTGGCTAGAATGACAGACACAGAATCCAGCAAATAACAGCAGCACTTGTGGTAGTTGGAAAAGACAGAGATGAGGTTAGTAATAAGGGTTAGAGGAGAGGAGGACACCATAGGATGGGGTTTTGTTTCTATTTATAGCTTTGCAGTTTGTTTTTCATCTGCACTGGAGAACATGGGTTTTTACTGATTTCTGTTTTTCATCAAGTTAATAGAGACTTGCTGCAGGACAGCTTATCTGAAAAACACCATACCCTGAGGTGGTAAAGTAAAAGCTGCCCCATTTAGTCTCTGTCATCCAAATTGGTGGTGTGCTTATTTAATAATGAGTGGTTTTGCTAGTGGCAAGGACGCTGGGATAATTAAAAGGGTCAGCTTTCTGAAGAGGATGTTGTTGTAGGTTTATATAATTGAACTGCTATTTTTGTCCAGAAATCTTCTCACTTCTTTATGCACTCAGCATTCAACAGCTTTAACTAAAATTGCTTTGTTTACGTTGAGTATAAAATTCTAGTTGCAGTTAGATGGGTGTTGAAGGGACATTGCTGGCAATGTATCCCGGCTGGTTTTCTAGTGCATACAGCCCAGACACAAGTCAAGTTCAGGATGTGAAAATACCAGTCTTAGTTCAAGATTCCCAGTCAAGACTATTCATGGTACTAAAAAAAAATAAATAACAGAACAGAACAAAAGACAACCCAAACTATTTTATGGAAATATGGAAATAGATTTTGCAGTCTTACTTTTTAACAATTTATGTGTGACACATATTACACAAAATATGAAAGGTGATGAGTTATATTTAAACAGTAGGTCTCCTATCGCAGAGTAATTGTAAAGCACGCTTTCCCTTAGAGAGCCTGTATTCGAAAGGTGGATTACGAGAAAGCGTTAACTAATGACTTCGTTTCAAGTTGAGGTCAAAGGTGCTCTGTGATTACAGCCAGGTCTGTTACGCTGCTGCTGACTGTAACCCTGAGCACAGGCGGGATGAGCAGCAGGAGCTCCTCCCGCTGATCCCCCGGGTCAGGCGCTCTGCCGGGGACGGGCACGGGGACGGGACACACACGGGGGCGGGTCACACACAGCACGGGGGCGGGACAGACACAGCACGGGGACAGACACGGGGACGGANGGAGGGGCCGCCGCCAGGTACGCGGGGCGAGGCGCGGTGACCGCGGGCGTGACAGAGAGGGGCCGGTTTCCTGGTTAGAAACTCGCCTCCTCTTTGCCCGAGACAGTGGCAGAGTTGTGAGCGATCCGTCAAAGGAATTAAAAGCTGAGGAAACGGCTGGATGTTTTCCCTTCAGATAATGCGACACGTTCTTTCTTACCTAAGCATGTGTAAGACTGGCTGCAACAGCTCGAGAAAAACAATGTGCTTTGGGGAAGAGTTAACCTTGGAACTGAAAGAAAAAAGAGCAAGCAGATGAGAGTGCGATTCGAAAAGCTTAGTGTAAAAGGTTCACCTGTTACCAGTGTTAGGGCAGTGCTGCTGTGTTTCTTTATCAAACTCTCATCCTCATAAAAACTGTCAAAAAGTGGAATAGAGATTGGTTCATGATGTCAAATTTCATGCAGTCATTTAGCAAAACTGCTTACTGTGCAGTGGTATAACGTAACACTGGACCACATTTTTTACTGTAAATCCTTTGTGGTATAATCTTAGGGTTGTGTTTGCAATATTAAATTCGTTCAGTCCTGGTAAACAAAATTGCTGTTTTAAAGATTAATTTATTTGAGTCTCCAGGGCAAAATCAATTGCTGGAAGGGTGTTTGGTATAAGGAAACCCATTAAGTAACTGTTTGCAAACTAAAAATGTTTCTAGTGGAAGCTGTAAGGATCTTGGCTGCTGGCTTTAAGCAAGCACAAGCTGGATCAAACTCAGTGCTGTGTAACTCGTAGCCTTGGAGCTGGGAACACTGCACTCCTGCAATTGTCCCTGGAGTGCACTCTGTACCTGCTGCCAGCTCGGCAGAACCTCACTGTGCTAAGTAGCAGGCTTCAAGGGCTCAGGTGGTAAAGAAGTCTCATGTGCTTGTTCAGACTGAGATGCTAATGAGGACACATGCTGGTACACTCATTTTTTTGGGATATGAACATCTGTTGGCAAAGAATTTGAATGGGATCAACTTGTGTCTCACAGAACATAAAATCAGATGTCACTATCCTGATGAAAGTACCAGTTGGGGTACAGTAAACACATTTGCCCTGGCATGCTCCTGGCACTAATTTCACCCTTTACACCCTTCACCTCTTAACTGAGGAGTTAAGAGAGACGTTTTTTCAAAAAAGTTAATCTTCAGCCTTAGGAAAATGTGTGGTTATTAAAAAAAAAAAAATCAAAAAGAAAATCACTGAATATGGATCACTTACACGTGCGTGTCATACACCAGAAATGCTTCCTTTTCAAGTCATGGGAGTTGGCTGTGCTGTGAGCAGTCCTCAAGTGCTCGGGGAGAAAGCAGTGAGTGGCAGGAGTGAGTGATGCCAGAAAGAGCAGTGAGATGGTTCTGTCACTGACAGTGATAATAATGTAAACACACAGGTAAATGTAATAAATACAGAAGTGGTAGATGTGTTTGAATTCTAGAATGGACTTGGTTTATCTTCAGTGGCCCAAGTCAAGTTCAGAAAAACACATGACAGTCCATGGAAACCAGGGGATTTCTTAGAGGTCTGCTTTCCTGAACTGGGATCCAGCCCAGCACATTCTCACAGCATCTGTTCTTCAGATAAAATTGAAAGAGGGATGAAGTCTCACCATACTTGTTAGCATTATAACCTCTTAACCCTGCCTTCCTTAAATGGCACTGTAATTGTAAAAAGGACATTTTCTTTTGGCAGCTGAGAGATTATTTGTAGGAATTGTTTTTCAGCCCTGTGGCTGAAACAAGTTCAGATAAAACTGCATGAAACAATAGACTGGCATGGCATTACACTAAAAAACAAACGAAGAGACAAACCCTGGTGACTGGTTTGGACTGTGTCCTGTACATAGCCCCAGATAATGGTATTTAAATCAGCTGTACAGAATGAGATCTGCTCCAAACATTTGACCATCTTCTGTGAATCTGGTTGAGGCAGCTACAATGTTACTGGCACCTTTCCAGCATTCCTGTCAAAGTTTTGCCTTAACAGTCTTGTACGGCCTGTCTGGAAAAAAACAATCTTTGTCCACATCCCTTGAGATACTGTTAGAAGCATTTGCAGAGTTGTCTAAAGCCTTTTAACATGGACTTATCCTTTCTTATTTTTGACACAATACTTCTGTCCCGTTTTAGTTTCTTTTCAAACACAGTGATTCCAATGTGTTTTCAGGAATCATACTTCAATCCCAGTTGCATAGTTCTTTTTTAAAGTCTGTAAAAATTGCTTCTAACTAGCTGCTAATGATGGTTATTTTCCTCTAAATTCAATACCAGTTTATTATTTACCCAGTTCCTAATACAGTGACCGTATAAGCTGATGTGCTCAGTCATGGGTAAATACTGGTATTTCATTAGAATTATAAATTACATTGATTTTTAAAGAATATATTGGCAATTTTAATTTAATTTAAAATTGGTAGCTAATTTGTTGATTGATTTGGTGCTTGCTAAAAAAAAAAAAAAGAAAAGGCATCTTCTTGTTAATTGTGTTTAAAAGAACCAACAAAACAACCAAATAAACCCCAAAGAAGCTTAGTTCTAGGTAGGAGAGGTTGGTTCCATTTTTAACCACATGAATCCAGAAGTATAGTCCTGATTATATCATTAGATCAGTAAAAGACCTGAGTTACTCTTTAGCTTATGTTTGTAGAGTCACTGAGGGCAAAGAGGAGTATTTTACTTTCCTGGTGCCAAAATTCAGAGCTTCTGAGGCAGCATTTTGCATCTTGACTGGCCTTATCTGAGCAAAATCAGTAATTTAGTAGAACTGTTAAACACAATGAATATTCATTAGATTCTAGTGTTGATCTTCACAGAGAACACCGAGGTGCAATCTTAGAATTACTAGTACTTTTAAAAGTAATTTGTTAAATTTTACTTATTAAAACACTATGTCCAAGGTTCTGGTGATGTTTTCTGAAGGAAATGTTGAAAGCTGGGTAATCAAAGCACCTTCTGAAAGGACTTTCAAAATGAAATTGTCCTTTTAAGAGAAGGGTGGCAGCAGAGGGGTTATAGTAGAGTTCAGCTTTCTATCCCCAAGTGAAACCTCTATTTTGTATATTCCAAAAGGGTAAAGTATTGCGAACTATGCCTTGTTGTTGCTATTAAGAAAGCCTGTCCTGCAGACTAATTGCATTTGAGACTTGAAAATGAACTCAAGCTGCCATGCAGCCAGTGGTTAATGAGGCCTTTTGTATTTCACTCTGCCAGTTACTTCTGCTGCCATGACTGGGGACTGTTTTTAGTTTCTCTTAGGAGAAAAAAAAAAAAAAAAAGGTGCCCCTTTTGGTTTTGACAGTTTGTATATTGTTACAAGCCTTTATTTTAACATCTGGCCGACATTTTCTGTAATGTTATCCAAGAGACTGTTTGTCTTGCCTGAATGCATTGTTACTTATTTTGCTGATAAGAAACACATCTAAAAGCATTTTCCCTGTTTCAGGCACTTGGCTTCTTGTGGTATTCTGATGACCAGAACTTCTCCTTTGCAAGTACCTGTAACGGGTCATACTTTTTCAAGAAATTTCTTCAATGTTGCCACACCACTAATAAATAAAAGAAAAGAATATTCTGAAAGAAGAATTATAGGGTTAGTATAAAACTGTGGAGAATTTAAATGCTTATTGATTTTGTATTTGCTGTAACTAATCCAAAACACTAGTAGTTCAAAAGACTGAGTATCCCTGAAGACACATGTCCTTAAGACTCTGGGAACCTAGAAAGGAGTTTTGACTTTCAGAATTTGTAAAGATCAGGTTTACCAGTCTGAAATTGAGCATAAAAAAGTAGGAACCCAAAGCCCTTAGCCATAGCAGGAAACAGCAGGAATAACTGTTCTATTCCATGACAAAACAAAAACAACCTTGAAATGGAGTAATACACTAACAATTTCATCTACTAAAATGTGAATAAATCAACAGGTGTGAAAACTGTTCCGTTTTCTCCCAAAGACATGCTACTATTTGCACTTACATTATATTATACTTCTCAAGCTTTTTTTATTTCTCTAAAAGAAGAAAAATGATTAGTTCTGTGATGAAGAAACTTCACACAGAAAAATATTTTGAAACCTTGTTTTAGAGCTAATGGGAAAGTCCCAGTTCATTTAATGATAATGGGGATCTCCTCCCAATCTCTGATCCACAACAGTATGAACTGTTTATTAGCAATATTTTTTTCACTATATTTAACATTCCTTTTTGTGATAGTTCTTGAACTGCAACAGATCTTGTCTAGTCACTTAAAAAGGGCCTTTGTCCAATAGTCCTCACACTGCTGAGTACTGTTGAACATATGCTTCATTCTAAAGGAAATTAAGCACATGCTTAATCCCATCTGTTTCAGAGTCAGAATGAAAAATTAAAAATTATTACATGGCTATGATAGCTATGTAATACTTTGCCATGTTACAGCAAAATCTGCTAAAATGTTACCTTGTTTCATCTAATTTTAATATCCTGCCTGAGCAAGGGTGTTGGACAAAATGGGGTCCAGAGGTCTCTTCCAACATCAGCCATTCTGTGATGCCAGAAGGTTTTTCCATTGCATCTGCTTTTTCATTAAGCTTTTTATTTGGGCTGAAAATAAGGAAGGTAGCACTCCTCTGTTTAAACCTTATGAAATATAGTACTTGAGTTTTGGTACACCTTGTCTTGGGAGCCATGAAGTGTGGAATTTTTTAATTTTTTTTTAATTTTTTTTTTTTGTGAAATGGCCAAGATCTGCCTAAATGAAGACACAGCTGTGCCGGAAAAAATTTTCCATTTGAAGTGTATGCATGTCTACCTGGTATTGCAGAAAGTAGCAGGCACTAGGTTCATTATTCATTAACATTACTGCTGGAGGGTGTGTGATATTTTTCTTCTTTATGCAAAAGTAATTGCAAATGTATTGCTTTTCTTTCCTCTTAATTGGCAGAGCTGCATTTTCAATTTCCAAAATCAGTGGTAGTGACTATGTCTACCATTCAACTTCCTGTGCCATGTTTACCTTCTTTGAAACTTCCTAATACTGAATTTGAAGTTAAAATACCTTGTAACTGTAATGTGCATGTGTCCATTTCCAGGTATTCCATGCAGGAAATGTATGAAGTTGTTGCTGTTGTGGAGAATTACAAACTCTTTGTTCCTTGGTGTAAAAAGTCAGACGTACTCTCGAAGCGCTCTGGGTACTGCAAAGCACAGCTAGAAATAGGATTTCCTCCTGTAGTAGAGAGATACACATCAATTGTAACCCTAGTGAGACCACATTTAGTTAAGGTAATTGCATTTTTTTTTTCTCCTAACCATAATTTTCCTTAACTTTTTGTTGAAATTTGAATATTCCAGGAACATCTTGCTCCAAATTCAATGCTGGAAGTTCTTTGTACAGCTCAAAACTTATGTTGCATTTCCTTAAAGACTTCAGATAAACTGGAGAGAATTTGAATGTGTTTTAAAACATAACCTGTCACATGAGAGGGGAGAGGGATTCACTTTTTAATTTGCCTTTATTGGCAAAGCTGGAAGCCATTAAATGATGATATTAACATTTTTGCTTGATTTTTATTTTTTTTTAATTTTTGTCCAAGCCTCTCTGAATGCAAAATATGTACTCAGTTAAAAGTTATCTGACAACTCTAGCTTCTGATGCCTTAATGAACTTGCTATCTGTCATTACTTTTCTTCTCACAATTTTAACTAGTTAATATGAAAAGCCTAAGAAAACTGACTAAGCTTCAGTATGATGTGCTGAACAGATTGTTATTCAATATATTGATGAGAAGACAGAAGTGTGGATTTAAAGTCAATTTTTACCGTTAATTTCTTCAGAAGAGAAGCAATTATATTTCTCCTTTCAGCTTTTCAAGAGCAATAATTTAGAGAAAAGTAGAAAAATGTCAAGGACAACATTTTAAATGATGCCTGAATCTTCTATTTGTTTGCCTTATATTTTCAAATTTGTTTTGATAAAGAATGGCTTTAAGAACAGATTCCTTATAGCAAAACTGCCTCTCCCTTGGCAGATCCTGATTGGTTTGGAATAATTAGTAGAAACTGTAGTAGTTGATTGCTGTTCAAGATAATTGTTTGAAAATCCTATTTCACTATTTTCTAGGCTTCCTAATAAGAGACACTTAACAGAAAATGAGTTTCTGAAGTACAGGGAAGATGTAAATTGGAAAAGGAATATGCAAAATGCCTTTATTCAATATCCTTATTGATTCTGGAAAGAAAAAAGATTTTTCTCCCTTTTTTAAAAAGCGTTGAACAGCTGTAATGGAAAATCTGTGATTTATATGCTGAGAGCTTTCCTTTTCTACTGTTCCTTGAGAAGACAAGCTTTTTTCTTTCACACAGCTATCAGATTGGCTTACCAACTCTTTTTCTCTCTTAATTCACTCAAAAGAATCATTCTTGTCTCAGGAAAAAAACCCACAAAAGTGGTGAGAAAAGCCATTTCTTCAGATTCCTTCCCTGAGACTCATTAGTCTTTTCTCTGCTGCAACTACTTTTCCTAAGGGTTTACATTACATCCTCAGAACTGCAGGAATATTTCTAGGGAACTGATTGTGTGCTTGGACTATTTCGCTGTTCTCTTCACTCCAGGCGAAGGAACCTTGTGTGGCGCTCAGGCACAAAATGGGAAAGGGTTTGTTGCTTAAAATTTTCCCAATTTTAGGGCTTAAAGAATGGAAAAATCAGATTGGTAACAGCAGTTTTTGCTGATGGGGAAAGCTACTTTAGTTAAAGTTTGCTACTTTAAGACTGGGAGAAAGGGGGACACAGTGACAGTTTTCCCATTTTTCCTGGTCTTTTGACAGCAGTAGGGAAAAGCAGGCCCAGCTCTTTGTATCTAATCTTCCCTCTACTCCTTCCCTTTCTGATGTAGAACTAGCAAGATCATGCATTATCTCATTCCTGGAAAGAGAAATGTAGATGTTTTTGTGCTGGTGATTAGTCTTTGAGATGAGTCACCTTACCATAGCTTTCCAACCCAAGCAACACCTATTCCCTGGGGGCAGTCCGTTGGAGCAGAGCTCCTTGGGGTAACAAGAAGAACTTGTAAAAAAAAGAGCCAAAAAAAGTTACAGACATTTTCTCTACAAATTCCAAGCCAGTTGAGGTTACGTATTTGGAAGTTCTATGCATCATGCCACAGATTTGTTTTATGACACTCAACACACAATTTCTTCCTCTGCCTTGGAAGGACTTCAGTTATTTTTCCATAATTGACAACTCTGCATACAGGATCTCATGCTGGCTATGCTGTAAGAACAGTTTTAACTATGCCATGACCATGCCTATTTAACAAAATGCAAACACAAGCTTCAGTGATACCTGTTTGTCACATTTGTAAAAGTCTAATTGTAGCTTGATTTTTAAAACCTTTTTTCAGGCATCATGCACAGATGGAAAACTTTTTAATCACTTGGAAACAGTGTGGCGTTTGAGTCCTGGTATCCCTGGTTATCCAAGGACGTGTACATTGGATTTTTCAGTAAGTATGGTTAATTACAACTACCACATGCTAGGAGCAGCACATAGGAACACTTCAGCTAAGAGGGCTGTTTTAAATGCCTGTACTGTTTCTTTAAGCACTTACACACAGAAAACAAGTTAACTTTAGTCAATTCTGTCCAAAACATATTTTGTAAACTTTATTGCTGGAAACCACTTCAATATCCTTCAGAGACAGCAGCCTTCTCTGAGGTGTCCATGTATCATGAAACAGTCTAGGACAGGCACCTCACACCCTACAGTTCCAAACACACTGAATTTTTTAGACAATCAAATGCAGAAGAAATGCTAAATATACCTTGCTATTTTCTTTAATTACTCTACAACCTAAATGCTCTTGGTACCAGAAAGTGTTCTGCCATCTGTCCTGTTTGGGCTGCAGTTTAGTCAGTTTAATTTCCTGTCTTCCAGTTTTACTTTTTCATGCATTTTAAGCCTTCTCTAATACAAGTCTAATAGATTTTTGCTGTTGCTAATCTGTGATGGGATATCACTGCAGCCCAAATCTATTGCTCTTTACATCCAGTACCTGATTTAGCCTGATCTCACTCCCAGAAAAGCTGTTTCCATTTGAGTTACTGCTTTTCCATGTTGTCTGTTTTGTCTGCCGTCACATTTACACATCACAAAGTGTAGGTGTTGCATTGAGCAATAGGCTGCAAATGTAATAGGCTGCAAAAGTACACAGCAATGGGCTAATCCTGCTGCCATCTGCTGGAATACTCTGCTTTGAAAATTATCTTCAGTAAATAGGAAAAAGCTTTTGGAGTATTTTTTAACTAGCACATTAACCTTCTTAGGTTATCAACTTTCAGCTTATCACTGTATTGTACTTTATACAGTCCAACAGCAAAAATTAATCTACAGACACTCAAAGAAGCACATTTTTTTAAGGTTTCCATGTTACGTGCTCATGTTATTTGTATTTCTTTAGGCAAGTAAGTGTCAGTTCTTTCTATGAACATATATAAGCTATCTTTTAACCCAAACCATAAATCAGTTAAAAAACTTGAATTAAACAACTATTTAAACCCTACAATCTAAGTACAGCTCTGAGAAAACGGCACCACACCTCCACAAGCCAAAGCCACATTTTGGCTTTTCAAGTCAAAGCCTTCTGTTAAAGGGAATCAAAACTGAACCGGATATGGACATTTTCATTTTCTTTGGGGAACACTATCAACACACCTTACTGCTTACCCTCTTTTGAGGTAGCAGAAGTCAATGCAGTTGGCTGAGCTTAACCCCTGCCAGTTTCTGCCCTGCTGCTCCTTGCCTCTGGACACTTGCAGGCAGGGATGATAAGCATTTCACAACAAACTCCTCAAAACAGGCCCTGCAATTACAGATAGCCAAGAGAAAATTTTGATTTCAAGGATGCTTGTTTGCTTTACAAAATGTTATTTGAGTTTTGGTCTATGCTGGTTCCCACAAGCTGCTCTATCCTGTTGTGCCAGCCTGATTTCATGAGACATCCACATACAGCAGGGAACTTTCCTACTTTGGCTTCAGCTCTGAAATGATTTTGTTCACAGACTGAAGCACACCACCATTTTTAGCACCTGCAAATTTCATTAATGTATACTGTACCTCAAGACTGACATAACTGCTGAATATGATGCCAAACTCATTATCCCCACTCTGCAGAAATCTGCATGCCCTAAATGACAGCTCTCAGACTTGCAAGAGCCACATTAATTTTACCGATGCTTGAGGTTAAGCAAATGTAAATTAAGCTACACTTGGCTTATGGGCCAAACTATTTAATTACTTCTGTGCTACTGCTTTCCAGTTAGTATGTATTGCTCATAAGGAATTGAGGAGAATTGATAGAGATTGACTGTATTTGCTCCTTGTGTCATTAAATCTGCTGATTTTTCAGGAATGACAAAAATTACTTAACTCACAATCCATTTCATTGACTGCTGGTGTCAGGTCAGGAGTGGGAGCTGTTCAGGTGGGAGATGTGACACACAAACCAAATCTAGTTTTAGTCATTAAACTGCTTGTTTGAATCTACCATAACTACTGCCACCAACAAGGAAAGACTGATTTAAAATATTGACATTTAATAGGTAACTATTTCAAGCCGCTTTTAAGTCTCTTGGACATGCTCCAGCTTATGTGTTAGTCTGCTGTCTTGCCATGCAAGATTTTCTTCAGACTTTTGTCCCCCAAGTGCATTCTGTGCACAAAATAAGTTATTGTTTGTCAGTAGTTTTTGATTACCCCAAACCTCTTTTCTAATGAATTATTTATTAAAGAAAAGACTGTTTAGGTAAATGTAAATGACTGCTTCAGAGAACTGAATGAGAGGAAAAGCCATGGGGTACAGTCCTCAGACCAAGGAACATGGGTTTCCTTGTCAGCCACATTCACCTATTCCTCAGTTTTAACTGTTCTACAGCTTACCTGCAGCCTTCACTGGAGATTCTTGAATAGACTTGTCTATTTGTATCGGCATTTTACAACAGTATAAATAGGAAAAATAATTCTCTTTTACTTTCTTAAACAGATTTCTTTTGAATTTCGTTCACTTCTACACTCAAAACTTGCTACACTGTTTTTTGATGAAGTTGTAAAACAGATGGTTGCTGCCTTTGAAAGAAGAGCATCCAAACTCCATGGGCCAGAAACCAGCATCCCTCGGGAGCTGATGCTGCATGAAGTTCATCAGACGTAAAGGGAAACTGTAACAACCTTCCCTATAAACTTGTTTGTACACTTCACTTGTACAAAGTGCCGTGCTCCTCCTTTGGGGCATCTATTCCTTACCTGAGCTGTGGGTGTGATCTTACATTGTGCCAAACACACCTGTTCAGCCAGACAGATACAGAACGTTCAAAAGCTGCAATCAAGTGCAGCTTAAAGCCTTATCAGTAACAGACACCTGGCAGCTGCTGTAAGCCAGGCTATCTCAGGCTGCCGTTTAACACCAAACGGCTCCTGGAATCACAGTCCAAGCTCTGCCTTAGCCAAGCTCCTGGGGTTTTTCAGCACTGTAACATATTAACTCAGCTTTGTGGGAACCTAACCTTCACAGCATCAACTCAGCCAGCTCTGCCTAAGGGGAGGCCAACTGACACACTGGCTTCCCAGAGAGTGGCGGTTTGGCAACCATTGAGGAGTGGTGCTTTAATCCAAATGAGTGGAAAAGGTAAGTCAGGGATCTCCAGGTTGTCTTGAGTGACCATCAACTGCTCTAGAACTCCCCTCGTTTTCAGAGCTGAAACACATAAGGAGTAATCTGAGTGCAGCAGTCTCAGCTATAGCCAGTGGTTCCCAGTGGACCTGTCCAGAATTTGTAGTCAATTTGGCACTGAACTTGCTCCTTGCCACTCTATCCCTGTTACACATTGCACTTTAGTTACTTCCATCTCACTAATGCAAACAGAACACTTTAAAACAAGTGTTACCTCTGAGAGCCAGGTACCAGTGCTGTCTTCCCTAGAAGCAGGGAACAAGACACTCTCTGCTTCCTGCAGACAAGCACAGCCAAGGCCAGCTGTCATTATAAATCATACAAGAGAGCAATAAACCTTCATGCTTTGAGGTTTTTCAGTACCATACTCCCAACTGTGATAATGCCATCCTGATTAAATACACGTTCAGTACTTCTATTCTTGAAATATTCTCTTCTTTTTCTGAAGAAACCAAGAGAATAGGTTTGAACAGTCTAAATTTTCACTTTATGCTGCCTTGCATTACCAAATTTCCTTACTGAAAGTAGGTAAAGTGTCAGGCCAAGTGCTGAAGCTGGTGCTTTCTCTGCAGCATAAGTAATCCATATGGTTACTACAGGACAGCGTATTAAATAAGATAGAAAGGTATATTTCAAAATAAACACAGCCCTGAAAACAGTTTCAGACCATTTTACTTAAAATTAGAATGTCACACATCCCATCTGTTTAAGTATAGTTCTTATTAAGGGCAGGAAGCTGGGGAAAGCAGCAGCTGGATTAAAGTAATTTTTACAGAACTGAGAAGTTGTAAAGCAATTTTGATTGTTGAGGAAATCAGAAATAAACATACACACGTTTGGGAACACCACTGTTCTGCAGGCTGGAAAGCAGAAAAGACTACACAATGTTAGTGGTTCTGTCAGGTCAAAGAACACAGAAAGGGGTAAAACAACATTTCCAGTGCAAAATAACTAAATCCTGCACTCCTGACCAGAAAGGAAGAAGAAAAGAATGGAAGGCTCAAGATGAGGAGGTAACCACATACTATGCCTGAGCAAAGGAACTATTTAAAAAACCCAGAACCCTTTCTTAGCAAAGATTTACCTGTTTGATATCCTCAGGGCACTTCCCTTCCCCCAGGACTGTGAAATGTACACTGGGCCTGTTCCAGCACGTGAAACAATCAGATAGACAGGGAAAAAATAAAGTCAGGGCACGTGCCTTGTTTTCAGAGCATTGTTTAATATTTCAAAGAACTGTAGTGCAGTTCAGCTTAGATATTTCTTACCAAAATTAAAGCACTTGCATTTCTGAGAAACATTCTAGACAATGGAATGTTTCTCGGAGTGAAATGCCCTGTCATTTTTTCAAGCATAAGTGTCAATTTCTACTAACTCTTAGAAGCAGCAGCAGGCTGTCCAGTCTATCCCATAACTATGGCTTTGTGTGCAGATGAAGGAGGTGATACATTTTGTAACTTTTGAGCAGTTTATTACATAAAGGTCACATAACTCTATTTGCCTACTTTGTACACAATTGTCTAGTCTCACGCACAGTGGCTTCCAAGTTCTTCCTAGTACTGGCAAGCACCAAGAAATTCTGAAATAGAACATCAAGTGCCTTAATTAAGTTCAAATTGGGACCTTGGTAGATGGATCTTGCACCCAGTTATCAGGAATGTACAAATGTCTTTATTCAAAAAATACAAAATAAATTATCTGTAGGCATGGACAATGACTGTAAACAATTACACGTGTGTTAAATGAAATCCGGTAACTGATGGTTACAGTGATTCTTTTCAACACCAGCCTCACTTCAGTCACTATCCATCCTCTCACACTGATAGCTCAAGTTTTTGAAGTCAGAACTGTCAGTCTTCAACAGCACAGCTCATGATGCATCCCTGCCCCAGGAATTAGAACATGCCACCTCCCATTCCTCCACCCATCCCACCCATTCCTCCCATTGCCGGCTCCTTCTCTTCTTTAGGAACTTCAGTCACCACTGCTTCTGCTGTTGATAGGAGAGATGCAACACCTGCAGCATCCATCAGAGCAGTTCTCACAACCTAAAAATAGGCAAGAAACATCTTAAAACCTGCTGACTATTGCAGGAGGTGGGAGGAAGCAAAGCTGAGAATTAAGACTTTTAGGTTACCTTCGTTGGGTCTATGATTCCTTTTTCTACCATATTTACAAAGTCCCCAAGCATTGCATCGTAGCCAACTTCTGATGGGCTCTGCAGGATTTTTTCAACTATCAATGATCCTTCAACACCAGCATTCTTTGCAATAGTCATTGCTGGGATTCTCAGTGTTCTCTTGATTATTTCAATGCCTGCAAGAAAGAGGATAGTTGGAGCTCCATTCTGCAGGATATTTATGAACATTTTGGTTTTACTTCTACAAAAAGTAGTAAGGAGTATTATTAGTAACATGACACAAAGCCTTTTTCCATTTGATTCACACAGTCTCTTGAGCATTATTAGATTTTTGTCTGTCTGTAATGACTTTAACAGCCAGCTCTCAACCTGAAGTGTTTGCCACTTTCTGCTGGGATACTGCTGCTTTACTGCTACTGGGTCTTTGACAGTTCAGTCAGCGATACCATGAAAAAGCTCCTTCCCACTCAAAAGCAGAGACCACAACACCAAAGAAATGTGAAGTTTCTGAGATCAATGAACTAAAAACTCACTGAAAGCAATCTGCATTTCATCTGATAAAGCCTCAGGACAGGAGAAAGCCAGCTTGCATCACTCCCACACACATCTTCAAGTAATTTACTTACCAATTTTCTGATCCTCGTTGGCTGGAGTTAAGGCATCTAAGGCTGGGATGCAGCGCAGCAGTGCACAGCCACCACCTGGGACGATGCCTTCCTCCACGGCCGCACGGGTGGCGTTCAGGGCATCGGTGACCCTGTCCTTCTTCTCGTTCACCTCAACATCACTGGTGCCACCCACCTGCGAGCAGCAAGCCACACGTCAAGGTCTGCACCAGGAGCCCAGCTGGGACAGCACTGCTGCCACCAAACTAAGCAGCCAATGCCTAAGAAGTGCTAGAAATCCAACCCACCCTCTCCCATACCGGCAGTCTTCTTCTGTACCTCAGCACTCAAGAAGCCTAAGCCTTAGTTCATCATTTCATCAAGTTCTTAATACCTTCAATACTGCTACTCCATCAGAGAGTTTGGCCAATCGCTCATTCAGTTTCTCTTTTTCATATTCACTGGTGGTAACCTCTAGCTGCTCGATTATTTCTTGAATGCGTTTTTCAATCTGAGTCTTTTCACCCTTCCCCTTAAGGAGCATGGTGTCATCTTTTGTCACAATGACCTCTCCAACTTTACCAAAGTCATGAGGCTGAATATCTTCTACATTTAGGTTCAAACCCTCTTCTCCGAACACCTGGAAGAAATTATGTGAAAAGCTGGAATTGACAGGTTCCCCACACATCAGGTGTTTTTTATCTACAAGTACACAAACACATACAGCAGGCTAATGGTGCAAAATAACCACTTTACTGCACTTCCACCATCTGGGTGAAGAACAACTTCCCAATATCCAACCTAAACCTCCCCTGACACAGTTTCATGGTGTTTCCTTAGGTCCTGTCATTGATCATCTTGCATTTTGGTAAGTTACAGATACTGACACATCACTGACTTTAGAACAGTTTACTGGTTTGTTACTTTGCACTGCCATTACCTTAAACATGAAGTTTTATTTCATGTTCATGGGCCTCCTCTGGGTCCCAATATAATGTTATGATTTTCAAGTGCATATTAAAAAAAGGGGAGCATAAAGGGACATTAATCAGTACATCAACTATATGCAAAGTTTAGTAGTAAGAAAATTTACTCAGTCCATTCCAAACATTTTAAATAACTGTATTTTCCACATCCGAGTTCAGGCAATTTTGAAACAGTCAGTTTTATAAAGGCAACAATTGCCTTGGAGTTCCTCCTTTCCCCTAAAAACCTAGTGAACCTAAAGTCTGCAAGGAAATCTTGTATGACTTCAGTCAGTTACAAGGACACATCACTTATGGTTGGCCAGGATTGTATTACACAGCAATTATCAGTGTCTGCATTTCAAAACAACAGCAAGATTCAAACATCAGTTACTGTTGTATTTTTGAAAAAACAGAACACAGCTCGCAGCCCAGCAAATACAAGCCAAGGACCTAAAAATGCAGTGTTTTTCTCCTTAAAAAGCACTAACATTCCTTGGAGCAAAAAGCCACTTAAAACATTGTTACTTACAGCACCACCAGTAGCAATCGCCATGTCCTTAAGTTGGTTTTTCCTGTTGTCACCAAAACCTGGTGCTTTTACAGCAACAACCTGAAGGCCAACCTTCAGTCTAATGAGAAAAATTCAGAGAATGAATCTAATTACTAAGGCAAATTATTACAGTGCAGCTGTAACAGCCAAGCAAACAAAGAGACCATCACAAACTGATGCTTTTTTTCTCAAAAGGGCAGTTAGGACACAAGTAAAGTTCTGTCCAAGTTGATACAAAGCATGGTGATGCTAGAAGCTGCTGTTTCTTTGGCACAGAAAGAGAACTAACAGCTTTACACCATGGAAAAAAACAGATTTTAAGCCTCACCTGTTCAAGACAAGAGTACTGAGGGCTTCTCCATCAACATCTTCTGCAATGATGACCAAGGGTTTGCGGTTGGCATTGGCAATTTCAAGAGCTGGAACTATGGACTGTACGCTAGATATTTTCTTTTCACTGATTAAAACATAAGCATCCTGGAATTCACATTTCTGCCCTGCAGAAACAACATGCATTATCTGAACAATTCCATTACAAAAACATATCAAGCATTCTTTTAACTTAAGCAGCTGCTCTGGAGCAATGGTTGCACTTTCCAAATGCATTTAAAAACAAAAAGACAACTTGTTTTCCTCAAGACTTCATTCTCAATTCTACATTGTTGTGCTGTGTTGCAAGCCTAGCCTGATGTTCACAGGAACTCTTTGCATAGAAAAAGAACCCCCAAAACTCCAAGCTTTTACCAAGTTTTCTGATGGGGAAGGATTCCCTGCTCCATTTGCTGTGGTGCACAGCATAAGGGACTGTGAAGCCTTTAACAGGGGCCATTATTTCACACAGTCTGCTGCGAAGTGTTTGATGTGGCTTATTGTTAACTCACCTTTAGTTGTGTTAATAAAATATGGAGAGATGTAGCCTCTGTCAAATTTCATACCCTCAATGATTTCCAGTTCATCATTTAGAGTTTTTCCATCCTGTTTAGATGCAAGAAAGTATGCATTAAAATCTTCCCTATTTACTACCAAGAGCACAAGTACAGTTTTAGCATACAAGGCTCAACAGATTGAAAGGCTCTGCATCCCACATCAGTTGCACATCCTTCTCTCCAAAACAGAAGGAATATAAGAGGGAACAGTGATCCAACTGAACTAAAGGAGCTGGGG